TAAGTGTCAAACACATCTTTTAACACTCTTTCAGAGATTTCATTTTTCAAATCGGGATATGTGAAATGTGAACAAAAGAACAGTTTCCGTTTCCCATTTTAGTTTTATCATTATCTAGCTTGAACTAAAAACGATTTTTTACGATATATCTAGACAAACTTGAACTTTGAACATGATTTTGATACCGGAAGGAAGATATTAACTAATCTTATGATTTTAGAAAGTGGAGACCTATTGAGACCAATTTGAAGAAAGAAAAAGAGAATGAGTCTGTGCATGAGAGATAAGTATAGGTGAAATATTTTTCCTGACCCCCCCCAGCACCGGCTTTATCGTATTCGATCTTAAGCAACAAAATTATTGGAATCGAAGTACCAAAAGGCCCGGTAAAATAAAGTACAAGTTAAGCAAATACTGATGAAGGAAGTCTTTTTCCATATTAAAATATAAGTTGTCCTTGCCAACTTATCGTGTGTCTATTTTTATATATGAAATTGTATGTTTTAAGACATTGCTATGCCAAGTGGTTAAAAGGTGGGATATTTTCTTATCAGCCATATAAGCTCCATACATAGCAACCTTATAAGCATCTATTGGCTGCAATATATGTGTGTATTAAATTGGGAAGTGCTGCCTCAAAAAGCTATGATATGACTTAGATATCAACAAAAGAAAAAAAAATATGTTGAAAACCGTTAAAGCAACACAGAGAGAAAATATTATATCATTTTTGCTAGGAATAATCTTCGTAAAATGTTATACGCGTAAAATATTTGCTAAAAGAGAGAGGAAAAGAGATAAATTACTGACTGTTGTTGTCATTATAACAAAATATTTAGATTTACTACGTCAATAAACTTTAAAAAAAAACTTTAACCGCCTTAATTATGTATCACATTATCCACCGTCTGGCATCCGGAAGGAATTGCGTGATTAACTGTTCAAAACGCACCCTCAAATCTCAAATATTGGGATTATCATTACCAATTTATAACAAACAAACATCAGTATCATTTTCGGACATTGCATTGTTTGAAAACAATGTGAACTGAACACTGCGGGTGAAAGGATGACACCGCATGCCCAAAATTAATAAATTGTGTACGGTATGATCAACATATTGTCATAATGTTAAATATATTTGTTAAAAGTATGAATATGTCAAATGTTCAAAATTATAAGATATTTATTATATAAAGATACTTTTTCTTCTTTTTTTTACAAAAAAATTAGTCATCGCATTTGCCATGTCATAAAAATATAGTATGTGTTGAAATATATCATTCAAGATAATGAGAATTATATCTGTTTGTTTCTGTAAATACGTCCATGTTTATTTTATATGATGTTTTCTTTTATATTTCGATACAAATCGGTATATGTTTATTTTATCGCTTTAAAACTATGTCATGGGATCTCTTCCTTGGTCTTAGATGATTTCCGATTCATCGTGATTGCTTTTATTTTGCAAATAACATTGCGACTGGTATTGCGATAAAATGCATCATGCAATTTCTTTACGATAGTTTTTATGAAAATCATATAAAAAAAACACTGATGAATAAATTAAAGAAAACCATGACAACAGAAGTTATAAAACAATAAATAGAAAATATGAAATTCGAACAATGCATATAGGAATAAGTTTTTTTTAAAGGATGCTCTTTCGTCATTTATTGAGGTAAATGCTATTCCAATACCAGACTATTGACAGTTTGATTAATAAAACAAATAAATAATATGTCCCTTATATGTCTTTAATACTAAAGAACCCATGGTATAAAGGAATAATTAACTAAGGACCACCATGTTACATATCAGTTACTGCTTGTTAAGTTTAGTGTTACACATGGTAATCAAATTACGTCATTTAAGAAAGTGTATAGAGAAAGTGTGTTTATTTTTTCTGTTTTTTGGAATATACTTTACATTAACGGTGGGCCCGCACATCGCACAAAATTGTCCCACTATTATTTTGAAGTAATTATTAGATATTGGACTGATTTCGACTTTTAGCTGTCCCGTGATTTATTTATTTACCAATCGGTTCCATATGAATGATTATAGAATTTTTTCAATTAAAGATATGAAAAGTTGGGTATAATGGAATTTGTAAAATTCAGTCAAATAAATGAATAAATAACATATCTAATCAATGCAATTTAAATCAAGTCTTTGTGTAAAATAAATCAAATGAACATTATGCTTGAGAAATGCTTTTATTTATATTTCTCAAAAGTTTTCATTTTCGGTGTATTTTTACAGTTTCCAAAAAATTTCCCATTGGCAAATTATCTAAACCATCTTTTCTTTTGTTGTTTTTGGCAATAAGTACAGTTACTGTATAATGATTTAGTGTATTTTGTATGGAAGTCAAAATGCTAATTTTGTTAACATTTTGGTACTTTAATGACAAATAATTTCACAATTAGCGCTACTTTCTTCAGGTAAGAATCATCTAACATGCTCAATATCATTATTTAAACGTTAAAATACTCAACTTTGCCCTTTCTACAAACGTAGAAATTTATTCGTTACAGAGGCATAATGTACCTTTAATTAAACGTATTCGTGTGTAAATAAAAAATGTTGTATATAAATGATATAGTAATATTACAAACGACGAAGGATATAAATATGTATTGGGGTAATTGTAATTGGTATATTTTTTTTATATCTTGATCAAAATCATACCTTTCCAAAATCTTTTAATAAAGTGAGTTGTGCATAGTCATATAATTGCTTAACCTACTTAAATAGTAGTTGATTGTTTTCTTAAGGTTTCTTTATTTAGTTTTTATATACTTATGTTTTTGATTTTTGAAAAAAAAAAAAAAAAAAAAAAAAAAAAAAAGACAAAAAAAGACAAAAAAAGAAAAGAAAAAGAAAACACACACAAACACGCATGCACAAGGATTATACAGTTTTTGAAACTTTCATAGCATTTTTGTGCATTTTATTATATTACTCCCTTTGAATTCTTCTTAAAGATAAGAAGGTGTTATATTTTTATAATCATTGATGTTTCACGATTTAAATATTGTGTTATGGCTTACTATCATACTTTAATTTCATTTTTTATTGCATAAAATGATATAACTATGTTGGGAAGTCTGTGAAACAGTTGTTAATCAGCTCATCCTTTAGTTGACTAATAGTAGTGATTGAAATAACTGCCATTTTGTTTTATGGATTGTAATTCATTTAGGTTTTAACAAAATAACACTAAAAAATTATAAGAAAGAAAATAATTTAGCAACTGCTCCTCATCTGGCGTTTTACATTGTACTTTAATTGCATCTTTATTATGATCATGTTTAATATTTGTTGTACAATGGTGGGATGTACAAAAATAATTGTTATCATATTTTCTTTTAGAAAATGTTGTTGCTTTTTCTTTTCTTATTTTTCTTTTAAGATTGCATGAAATAATGAATGACAAAGAAACATTGAATAATATCTGAAATAGAAAATCTTCGTCAATTTATTCTAAAACAACTGTTCGTTTTGGATTTTGATGAAAATCATACAGAAGTACGAGGAATAGTGCGCGAAATAATCAGTAAATCTACTACAACAGCAATCTGTATTATTATATATGTATACAGACGCTTCTTTTAGACATGACCATAAGAATATCGTACAGGTTTCTAAAACTTTAACAGTGGATAGAAGTATTGTTGTAAGTTTATTTGTTAAAATATAACTTTTGGCGTTTTAATACGTGACCCATTTAGAGAGACAACGGGGAAAACACACACTGAAAATAGGGTTTTGACATGTCAAATAATTTTGCTGACATCTAACAATGACACGTGTGACGAAGCATAACTATAAAATAGTAATGTGGAAATTTAAATGTAAAGACTAGATTTACAATTTCAACAGTAATATGATATCTTCATATGAGACAAGCATATCGCAACTTGATATTTTTCATAAATTTGTTTTTTGGTCGCTTAATAGGATTTTTTCAACAAGTCATTTATGATGTGTTTTGATAAGAAATTGTCATTCATGAAATTCTTTTCCGAAATATTTTCTTTGTATAGATACATCAAGCACCTGTAACAGATATTTATAACGAGGGGCTTCACCTTTAACTTTTTCTTTATGATATCAAAGAATCGTGTTCTCAGGGTAAAGTTTTCATTTTGAAACAAGTTCGATTAAAATGAAAATTGAACCATACAGAGGGGATTCACCTCTTCATCTGATATTACAGAGAAATTTTTATACATGTACTCAGGGATAAGTTTTTATTTTGAAACATGTTCGGTCACTTTTAACTGTCAAAACAAGAAATAAAGCTTTAACTCCTCTCCTTTTATCAAACTGAATATTTAGAGCTTTGAAATAGCATAATTTGTTCACAAAGGATACATAACTAGAATAAACTATGGTTTTCATTGGTAAATAATATAATTAATAAAAATACAAGTGCAACTTTTTTTCCCTCAAATTTAAAGGAACCTGTCATGAATAAAATACCATATTATCTATGGCATTTATCATTATTTCTAAGCAGCAACTCTTAGCGAGCCTGTGTCAATCCCGACAAAATTTATTTAAAAAAAATAACTTTCATAATTCATAAACTACACTGTAATACGAAGTTGTAAAACATAATCTATTTACTTTCCTCGTGCCATGTAAATCAAATTAATGCTTATAGAGTGTTCTTACTAAAAAATAAGTGTCTATTAATTTTTATCAGTGTTTCCTCAACATCCTTTGACAATCAAATCTATTACAATAGTTCCGATCAAAATGGCATAAACAGTCTCTTTTAAGTTCTGAAAGAATTACTGAAATACTGCTGTCTACTTCTTTGGTAATAAATATCGTTTAATCGAAAAATATTTTGACTCGTTTAGCGTAAACGTCGTGTGAGGTAGGATTGCCAGCAATTTTGCTTTTTTAAATCTGACAATCTCATATTATGGAGAATATACCGCTGCAAGTATTTTATATAAATAAAGAAATTGTACAGTACTTACAAACACATAATGGGCGCTTCACAGTCCACTTCTTTGATGTAGGGTCACATGAACCAAAGGTACTTCCAATCGGAGAAAGGCCGTTATCGCATGTGAATTCGACTAGCATGTTGTTACCCCAAATATTTACTGTACCATTGTTTGGTGGGTCTGGAGTTTTGCATGGTTCAACAGGTTGAAACTCTGGAATTAAAATAATATGTTGCTTCGGAATACTTATTATGTCAATAGTTTGATATAAACCTTTCTACCCGCTTACATTGTACACTTTTGGCTCATTGTCAACAACAGACATAAATTGTAGTGAGGTGATAAATGTCTTGTTTTCTGAGTTTTCTTACTTTATTTCAAAACAAAACACATTATAGGGAAATCAAAGACTATAATTGAACAATGCACGTTACATATTAAATGCAATTTTTATCAAAATTAATTATGCAAAAGTACATATTTAAATTATTCCTTTAAACTATCATGCATATATGCTACTGGAAACAGAAATGATAATTTAAATACGCCGAAAATTGTCCTCTAGGCTGGTTCAGAATGGGAACAGTCACATTCAGTGTATACCCATAAATAATAGATATAGTTGCAACTAAACCGTTCTTTATTTATTTTGTAACAAGGCATATTTAAAATTAAACAATCAAAATTCATCCTTTCAGAAATTGCAAACTTTAAATAATGACTTTTCAGAACTGACGAAATATTTGAAACATTGTCCTATATCTAATTTGATTTATAAGATAAAAACTAATAACATCCCCCTAACATTTATATATAAACATCCCCTGAACATAATACTGTCCTCAATAAAGAACAAAGTGCTCGAGTTTCAGCACTGTGTCATAAAATATCTTATAGATATTACGTCATACTAAAATCTGTACAAGCTGCATTGGAAAAAAAATGTTTGAAGAGAAAAAAAAGCTTAGTCACTGTTAATTCTTAGTCACAATAAAGTAATAACCGATATCAGCAATCATGTTGTTGATAACTTTATTCTACGTAACTTTGCTTCAGGATCTTTGGCTTATCTATGAAGATTACGAAAGGGATGTGGTTGTACACAGACCTGGCATATTGCACCTACTTGCATCTGAACTGGAAAGTCGCAAAGCCACTTAGCACTTTTCAGCATGTCTATTTCTAAGACTTGCAACCATGTGGAACTTTAAAAAGAGCTCCAAAAAGAAATTGATGCAGTTTTAAAATGTTTAATGAAATTATTTTTTTCAGACACAAGAATTTTGATCGAAATGTGATGTTCGTGTAACAATGAGCGAAAAGTGATATTTTATCGCATATTTTACCATATAATTTTTAACAGGAATAATATTATGATAACGCTCTATAACACGCCATTGTGTCTATCGTTACTTAAGTATTTTTATTTAATAATGTACTATTTGGCTTAATTGCTTTTCATTGATTCCTTATTGTTTAGCACTGAGCATTATTGAAAAATGTATAAATATGTTATGGGCGACTTAATTTTACTATCATACTCGTCATCACTATAGAAGGGAAATTTATGCCAGAGTTCAGCAAAATAAAGTTTTTTTCCCTTTGCCGTTTTATTTTGTTTACGTCAATTATGACAAGTTACATTACGTCAAAGATCTTATGTGCAACATATACTTATTTTGATTTATCCGAAGTGGCCTAATGATTGTGCATTCACAACATTTGCATAAAGTTGCTTCCCTTGGCGGTCATGATAAAGTAATAATTCTAAGAATGAATAGCCTGGTGTCAGACTCAGTGTATTGTTATTGGATTGGATATAATGTTATCGGTATGACATTGCAGATGAATACCATTATAAATTTAGATTTCTAACGCGACAATAAACTTATCACACAAAGTTGGAGATTTGTCTTGCTGCAGCAAGTGTTGTGATACACTTAACATTATTTTTATTGGCTTTTCATGCACTACTTGTGAATACTTTGAAGTGTTCTTTTCTCCTTAATATGTCATTTTCCTCTTACTAAAGTCTTTTCTCTTTAATACGTTCTTTTCTCCTGAATGAACTTTTTTAACGGCTTGTTAATACATAAGTAAAAGTATTGTTGTTTAAAATACATAAAAGTATTTCTTTTTTCAAATCAAGATGCTAGAATAATACGCTAATATTAAAAAGATAAACGCCCCTGAACTGATATTTTTGTTCAGCAGTCTTGTTATGAACAACATAGTTAAAGTTTTAATTTTACTGCCAGCCAGACCATGTGAAAAGTCCGTGTTTACTTATCAATAAATTAAGTACGCAATATAATTGTTGGTTTAAGAGAATCCTTTGATTTCGACGGTAAAATAAATAAACAGAACATACCTGGTTCTGACGGGGGTTGGTCAACACATTGAGTAACTTCCGGGTTCAAAACATTCAAAACAAAAAGTAAATAAATTAACTTAGCATAATACATCTTCAATGCTAAGTTTTAATAAAGTGAATTACATATACTGTAAACAATTATATTTATATGAGTGAGTTCTTTGAGAAAATTTTGTGATTCTTTAGTGTTTACTTCAACTCGGCACGAAACTTAACAAGAGGTTACCGGTAATACTGGTTTGGTTACTTTTTCCGAGGGTACATAACTGGACAAGTGTATGACAGATTTACCCGTATTGTTACAGACATGATTCATGAATAATTTTTTAACTAAGGGTGAAAATTAAATAAAAACGCTATCCACGTAAATGTTATCTCAAAACATTTTTTTTTGTTGTTTTTTTTTTCAGAGAAAATAGCAAAAACGTATTCTAAAAAAATGTTTGTTTTGATTTTGGTTATATATGTACATGTATTTGCGGTTATTCTTTACTTAATGTTCGTTTGTCAATGTTGTTACAATGCTACATGATAGAAATTGCATTAATCATAAAGGAAATGTTTATGTGGTAATATTTTCAATGTTTTATATGTATACATGTATATGTTGGCATACCATTGTCTTTCACTTAAAATATTTGGTAGACCAAGTATTCGACCGTTAAATTATAAACCAACGCGAACTAGTACATTTGACAGTATAACTAACAAAGTAGAAACTTCCGGAGTTTTAATATATACACACATGAGTGCCACTAACGATCTGGTGATAGACGACTAAAAGTTCTAAATAAACTATGTCATTATTTGTATGGAATTACTCCATATCCTATTGTAACCGGAAGTGATTACCCTTTGCCATTAGTATAGAGTCATGCCATCGTGCAGTTTGACCACAGTCTCTACCTTCGACTGACCATCTTCAAATTTTCAAATTTAAATCCCCGAAATCAATAATGGACAATTCAAAAAGTTGGAGCTGGACAAGTCCATTGAAGAAATTTAGAGGGTATACTGTAATTAAAAGGAATATAAAGGCCCCTTACCCTGGAGAATTTAGATAAACTTGCCCGGCTTTAATTTTGGAACGGACCATTTCTAGTTGAAGAGGATTCCAAAAAGTTTAAATATGATATTGAAAAAGAGCAGCCAGCAGACTACAGCCTACTCAGATATCACGGATGTTCTGGCTAGTCTAGCATTTACATACCATTATCGCCGTTGACGCTCAAACGGTTAACCGCTTAAAACAATGGCGTTCAGCTGGTCTGTTTTATCTAAAAATAGAAACAAACTTTCAACTAAATAACCAACACTTTATGCTGACATAACTTGGTCTGTTTTTGTTTACCATAGAACAGGTAATTTAACTGATGTGTCATGTTCTTCCCTTTTATATATTTAAATCTAATGCACGGAATGTGCAATTTATCGTTTGTACTTTTTGTGTATTTCTTTAATGCAAATGCAAAATAGATTGTAAATAAATTTCGGCTTATTTATTTTGATCATTATCCGCTCTCCGTCTCACATTTTACAAATTCCTTACGTTTCACAACACCTTAAAGATAATTCATGATCTACAAAAATATGTACATTTTTTTGGTATTACATAATATGCATAAAAGAAGAGCGTTTACAAAGGGGAGTAGTGGCCTAGGGGTCGTGAGTTCGAAGCCTAAAGTGGTCACGACCATGTTTCCTTGTATGCAAACAAGTAAATGCAACCGAGTTTTTATGTATAATGTTATCGCGTATGACCATTCATTTAGGTCACATAACTTATAATACAAGTACAAGTTTATGTATAGTAATATATATTTTGTTATTTACCAACTTACCAGGTAGTTTTCTAAAGGTTATCTACAAATAACTGAATTCAACTGAATGAATACCCCAGACCTTGCGGCATCAATATCAAAATGCATTGTAGCACTTGCTACAACAAACGGCAAATGCAAATATTTGATAATCGCATTTAGAAATGTAGCGTAACTTGAGTGTCTATAAAACGCAATCATTTCGTACAATTAAGTAGAAAATAATAAGGCTGTGATTATCCCTGTGTGAAGTGAAATGGCTTGGCAGTGGTAATCAGAAGTATATAGGCAGAAATAATCCTCAAAGACATGACGTTAATAGGCAGTTGTTATTCCGGTTGGACGTTCTGGTGATTAGGCGGTAATTTTCTGTCTGTGATGTATCATTACTGTGCAGTTATCGTTCAAGCGGGTCGAAAAATTACTAGAGAAGTTATAATTCCGGCGCCAGTGCAATCTGAATAGGAATATATATTGCGAGAAATTAACCACATTTAATATGATCTTGAATATTTATCAAACGAAAGTTAATCGATGGCCTTATATTTCATCTAAAATAACTGAAATTTAAAACTACTTAAAACGGTAAAATGTGTCCGTTAAAGTTAGCATAGTTTGGCGAAACACCCTTAAAGCTGCATGCCTCCAGAAAAGCCAAAAATGTCAAGAAAATCAGTTTTGAGAAAATTGTACCGAAATTTTAAGAAAATTAAAAATATTCACAATTATAGTAATGATTTACATGTTATATGCAATAAATGACTGATATTTCAGTATTAACCGCCATATTTCTACTGCCTGACTAACGCAGTAAGAGCAAGTTTTGCATAATTTGGCCGAAATTTATTGTTTGAAAGTGCCGTTTGCAATGTGTAAAGTACTTTCTTTGTTCATTTGACAATATTTTACTAATTTATTAACTATTTTTCTATAATTCATTTTCAAATTTCTTGAAAATTAGCATGGAATCTGGAGGCATTCGCCTTTAAGTGCATTGTGTAATTGTGTAGGAAAATGTAGGTTAATTTTATCATAAAGTTTGATAAAGTTATATACAGCTGTCAGCAGCATCCTATTGTTTTGACGTCTGCTACAATAGGGTTCAATCACCCCAGACACAAGGATATGATGTGAAAGAATTGTGACTGACATGATACGTTGTTTTATCGTATTTATTTTATCTAAACTTTTTGAAAATATGCTGATTTTGATCTTAAAAATGAATTAATCATAATTTTATTTCGATAGACATGTAAATGACTTTGATGCGTGCATATGGTCGCATGTTGTTTTCCTATAAATTCAGCGCACATTTTGTTGCATAGTATTTTCCTTAACGAATACCGTGGATGACCCAGCGTATCATCAATATAAACTTAAAATAGATGTATAAAAAATAAATATAGTACATAATTTATCAGCTACAACTTTGCATTACTTACATCTATTACACAAGAAAAGTTGTAAAGATAGCTAGATACAATTTCATATTTAACGCCTTTTCTATGGAAAATTATTTGTGTCAAAATTCAGAATATTAATGCATTTGCGCTGAATGTTATGACATTACGTAATGTAATGAAAACATTTGCGGCAAAATCGATGCATTTATTTTTATACGTGATGTTTCAAGAATAACTACAAATACTGTTTTATGCAGACTTATTTCTAAAAATAAACATTTTCAAAAATGCGTCATAATTTTGATCAGTTTCGAAAATGATCTGTTCACATGACTAACGAATACTTCCGATTCATTTGCGTTGATCCCTTATCATTAAATGTGATCCCCTTACCTATAAAGGTTTAGCTAAACCATCCGACGACTGGGTATTTTTAACTCTAAAAATTCACGTATAAGCTATAACATATCAATTAAACTGTAACCGCAATCTAACCACAGATTGTTATCGCGTTTTTTGTATCCAAAATAGTTTTATTTTAATCATTTTTCTATCGTTTCGCCGCATGAAGTTTTTTGTATTCAAATTCTGTAAATAATGAGTGATTGAATAATTCAAGTGCAAGCCATATGTTTTGCAATTTAAAAACAAAATTGTGCATTTAAAAAAAAAATTCAGACAGATTTGTCTATTGCTTTATAAATTTTCCTAAAGAATCATAAAAAACTTTTAATTATCTATCTTTTCTTCATTGTGATATGCAAATGATTTTTTTTATTGTTTCAAAGTTTATGAAAACGAGTCCTGCTATGGCTGTATAAAAACGCTGGACAATAATTTAGCCAAGTCGCAATCATGTTAGTATTTTCGACCATGGCGTCATTCAATCTATTTCGTTATATCTGACATCACGGTGACGTATCTATTTTGCCTGAATTATAATTATGGTCTGCTGTTTGCAACATCTACATGTATATAAATTCATTAATGTGATAATAATTAAATCCGCAAGTTTGTGGTTTTCGTGGTTTATATGTACACATAGGTGTACAAAATGTACTTATAAGTTTTGGGAACATTTGATTTTTCAAGAGATACATAAATGAGCCGCGCCATGACAAAACCAACATAATGGGTTTGCGACCAGCATGGATCCAGACCAGCCTGCGCATCCGCGCAGTCTGATCAGGATCCATGCTGTTCGCTTACAAACTCTATTACAAGTAGAGAAACTGATAGCGAACAGCATGGATCCTGATCAGACTGCGCGGATGCGCAGGCTGGTCTGGATCCATGCTGGTCGCAAACCCATTATGTTGGTTTTGTCGTGACGCGGCTCATTTGATTTTTCAAGAGATACATATAATCAACGTAACGCTTATCCATACGCGTCGGTATTTAAGAGAAAAAAAAAGGTAGAACAAATACGGATCTGCATGTTCCTTGGCTTTCAAACAGATGGCTATCTCCAATTAAAGATCGTGATTTTTATGAAATATCTTACGTTTTATATGGATTACTAAAACTAAAAATATGTTCTAATTTAGGAATAAAAAAAAACCTCAGGTATGAAACTCATGTATTTTATCAACTTAAACAATCTTGCAACTAAAATATTAAACACTCTGTCTAGGAAGGCGTGAGTCTTATAAAGGCATCATAAATATATAATATTACTCATAATTAAAGATAATAAAATGCGCCGTAGCGTTTTATATAAACTTATATAATATTAAGCGTCGACAGCAAACACTTAAAGAAGTTGTCGCCCTTTGAAGAGGTGACAGCTGAAAATTCGACACCTGTAAAGAAAACATGTTTATTGTACATAAAGATAAGAACTTCGTCAGTAAGAAAGAATTCATGGCAGCGTTACGTTCTTTAGGTAATAAAGTATTCTATTTATATAACACGTACATATTGTTATGAATTA